GTTTGCCACTTAGTCCTTACTCCCTCTGTGTGACTTCAAGCAACCAGGTCTCTCTCAGTGCTGCTCAAACCCTGGTTGACTTGGGAGGGAGCTCCAACCCAGCTCTCTTCCAAGAGCCCTGTGGCTGGCCCAGCAGGCACTGGGCCTGGAGCTGCAGCCGCCCTGGTCCCGGCACCAATCCCTGGGGCCTTATTGTCCTGAAGCACTCTCCTTACCGTCTGGTTCTTCAATGTCTGGTACAATTTTTTATCTCCCATTTTCTTATATGCTGGGGTATTGTTGGCTGTCTACTCTGTTCATTAGTAGATTGGCCAGGTTTTTCTCCTGCGTGTAGGGGGAAGTGGAATCTGCTCCCTCTTACCTAGCCACTAAGGCCTTAATCTTATTTTTAATACTTTTGTCTTGTAAATATTAGAGTTAAGGTGATTTCCATACCAACATATTACAGTGTTGGAGTACTCTGAATTTCACTATACTTAACATTACCAATGATTTTTATACTTTATATTGATAATCAGCATCTTTTTATTTTGATTTGAAGAACCCTCATTAGTGTTTTTTAAATTTATATATTTATTTTTTTTTTAAATTTAATTTTTTTATTGATTATGCCATTACAGTTGTTTTATTCCCCCCTTCATTCCCCTTCACCCTACACCCCTGTCCCCACCATTACCCCCCCTTTAGTTTATGACCATGTGTCTCAAGTTCTTTAGATTCTATATTTCCCATACTATTCTTGCCCCCCCATCTATTTTCTATCTACCGTCTATGCTACTTATTTTCTGTACCTTCTCCCCCCTTGTCCTTCTCCCACTCCCCTGTTGCTAACCCTCCTTGAGATCTTCCTTTCTATGTTTCCACTCCTGATCTAGCTGTCCTTTTAGTTTGCTTTTGTTTTAGGTGTGGTTGTTAATAACTGTGAGTTTGCTGTCCTTTCACTGTTCATGTTTTTTTCACTTCTTTTTCTTAGATAAGTCCCTTTAACACTTCATATAATAAGGGCTTGGTGATGATGAACTCCTTGAATTTGGTCTTATCTGAGAAGCACTTTATCTGTCCTTCCATTCTAAATGAAAGTTTTGCTGGATAGAGCAATCTTGGTTGTAGGTCTTTGGATTTCATGACTTGGAATACCTCTTTCCAGCCCCTTCTTGCCTGTAAGGTCTCTTTTGAGAAATCAGCTGACAGTCTGATGGGAACTCCTTTGTAGGTGACAGTCCCCTTAGCTCTTGCTGCTTCTAGGATTCTCTCCTTCATTTTAATCTTGGCTAACGTAATGATGATGTGCCTTGGTGTGTTCCTTCTTGGGTCCAACTTTTTTGGGACTCTCTGAGCTTCCTGGATTTCCTGGAAGTCTATTTCCTTTGCCAGATTAAGGAAATTCTTCTTTATTATTTGTTCAAATAAGTTTTCCACTGGTGGCTGTTCCTTTCCCTCTTCTGGTACCCCTATAATTCGGATGTTGGAGCATTTAAAGATGTCCTGGAGGTCCTAAGCCTCTCCTCATTTTTTTAAATTCTTGCTTCTTCACTCTTTTCTGTTTGGCCATTATTTGCTTTCTTCTGGTCCACTCCATTGATTTGAGTCCCAGTTTCCTTTTCATTGCTATTGGTTTCCTGTGCAATTCCATTCATTTCAATTAGTTTCGCCTTCATATGTTTCTCTAATCTGTGGCTATAATCAACCAGTTCTGTGAGGATCCTGATCACCAGTGTTTTAAACTGTGCATCTGAGAGTTTTGCTATTTCTTCATTGCTTATATTTATAGGCTCTGGGGCTTTGAGATCTTTTTGAGCCATTTTTGGTCTGTTTGCGCCCGTTTAGTGTGAGGAGTAGAGCCTTGGACTCCCAGGTTGCTGGGTTGTGACGCTGTATGTGGGGGCGTGGTCAGAGCGAGGAAATGGTGGCGTCCTCTGCTGCTGCTCATTGCTGGGCCTGCTGGGTCCTGTCTAATCCACTCCCTTGCTTGTCTATCCGCGCACAAATGTGAGACCACAGTCAACCCGCAGCCCTGCTCCCTTGCTGTTTCCTAGAGGTTGCTCGCTGTGTCGCTCACTAGGTCCAACCCTGCGCCTGGATTGCACGCACCTGAGTCCCTCTGACCGAGTTTTCCTGTGCAACCCTGCTCCGCCAGCTGCTGGTTTTGCTCCTCTTACCGGTTAGGCTGAAGGATTTGTTGTTATCAGACTTTCGAAAAGTTCAATTTTCTGTGTGCTGGCTGTGTTTTCTGTTGCTAATATTTAGTTGTCTCTAAACTTAGTTGTGTGAGAAAGCACGGTATCTCAACCTATGCCTCCATCTTGGCGGAAGTCCTCATTAGCATTTTTTAAAGATAGGTCTAGTGGTGATGAACTCCTTCAGCTTTTGTTTTTCTGGAGAAGTCTTATCTTTTCTTAATTTCTGAAGGACATCTTTACTAGGTATAGTATTGTTGGTTGGAAAGTGATTTTTCTTCTGGCACTTAGAGAATGTCATCTCACTCTCTCTTGGCCAGCAAAGATTTGCTGAGTGATCTACTTATACTCTTATATGGGTTCCCATTTATGGAATAATTACTTTTACTGCTTTCAGAATGTTCTCTTTGTGTTCACTTTTGACAGTTTGTTTATAATATTTCTTTTGAATATCTCCCTATGTTTAATCTATTTAGAGTTCTTTTGGCTTTGTGTACATTTCCTTTCCCTGATTTGGGAAATTTTCTGTTATTATTTTTTTTAAATAGGCTTATGTTCCTTTTTCTTTCTCTGCTCCTTCTGGGACTTGCATAATGCGTATACTATTTCTTTTGATGGTATCTCACAAGTATCGTAGGTTTTCCTTTTTTTAATTTTTCAGGTTTTCTGAATGGATGATTTCAAGTCCATTGGATGGATGTTTCTAAGTCCATTGTTTCTTGTACTTGATCAACTGTACTTCTGAGGGCCTTTATATGGAATTTTTCAGTTTAGTCATTTTATTTTTCAGATACAGAATTTCTGTCTGGTTCTTTTGAAAAACCATTTCTCTCTGTATTAAACTTCTCATTTTATTCATCTATTGTTTTCCTGATTTTTATTTATTTGTCTCTCTGTTCTCTCTTATATCCACTGAGCTTAAGATGATTAAGAAGATTAAGATGATTAAGAAGCTAGTCATCAAGTCAGCCCACATGGTTTGGGGGGCCTCTCAGATCCTTCCTATGTGTATGCTTACTTCACTTATCTTATTCCATCATTGTGGAGAAATTAGGATTGGATGCCTTCTCTAATCCCCCAAAGCTCATCCAGAGGCAGAGAGGCTCCCATTTGCTTCACCTAAGGCAGTGCCCTGAAGTGTTCAAGGCTGTCTGACTTTTCCCAGTTTAGGAGAGTCAAACCAGCTGCTGATATCCATGTGTTGAGTGCAGGATTGTGCATGCCATTGGTGGCCTATGTGTACCACTGGCTGGGGAGAGTGGATGCCAGCTCTAGGGTATGTGTTTGGAATACTGGGGGTGTTTGTTGGCTACTTGTGGGTGTCCTTACTGGAGAGGATCCTATTGGTTCATGACTGGGGCTCTCAGTGGCATCCTGAGCAAGTTAACAGGATATATGGTTGACCTCTGCAATCTACACACTGTTGCTGTGAGACCCCATTCCCTTTCCCCATTCCTAGGTGTCCCCAGAGTGTCCAACTGTGCCAATTTCCTGAGTGTTCTGGGTGGGGTAGGACAATAAAGTACCTCCTGGACAGTGTCTCAAAGGCTGGGGAAACCAGCCTCTCCTATTACTTCCACTATCCCTGTTGGAGAAATCACAAGCCCAAGAGGGTCTCTGTTGGGTTTGTGCTGTGGCACCTTGCAGGAGGGTCGATGTGGGTAAAGTGAAACTGTTATTCTTGCCCTCTACAATGCACCAATGTGGGTTCATCATTTGTAACAAATATACCACTCTAGTCAGAGAGGCTGATAATGGCACAAGCTTTGCATGTGTGGGGCAGGGGTTATAAAGGAAATCTCCATACTTTCCCCTCATATTTTCTGCGATACTTAAACTGCTCTAAAAAATTAATTTTTAATAGTAAATTAAATTAAAATAACTTAAAAATGGCCATATATGCACATTTACAAAAGGAAACATATTCTCAAGAAACAAGTGTTAACACTTTTTCATTGTATTTATATGTATTTTCCTCTACCAACAATTCTGATCACTGGTTTTGATTTGATTGTTCAACTCATATGTTGTGTTTTGTCTTTTTATCTAAAATTTGTGTAGGTAGCAAATACATGTTGAAAACATGAGAAAGACCATACAGAAAACTTATTCTGGGGAAGGGGATATGTGTGAGTTTTATATAAACTGGGCCTGTAGGATGTTGGAAATCTTCAACAAATTTGATTTAGTTGGCATAGGATAATGAGAAGTTGGGGTTTGAATTGAAGAAAGGATTTTCTTTAAGGGAAGCTCTATGTTTCTTGCCCAAAGCAGGCGTACAGAAAGGGAACTCTGAAGCTATCAGCTAAAGAGTAAGCACTGAAGGAGTTACTTTAATTGGAGAAGTTACTTTATTTACAATTGTTTGCAGTGTGGTATATGAAATGAACTTCCTGTTTCCTTAAATTTTTTTCTTTTAAAATCTACAAACTTTTTTCTAAATAATTATGGTGTACACTTTGTTTTGTAAATGGTTGCTGATATCTGCGTTAAGGATGGCATATGGAGAAACCCAAGGCTGCATATCCGAGCATAGCCATGATGCGTTACAATTAATTTTTATATTAATTCCTCAGCTCTCCTTTTTTCCTTTCTTTTACATAATTATGGAGGTCTGATTGTCTTTGAGTTTATCACATCTCTCATAAGCATTACCCACTCATTTTTGCACAGTAAAGTCAATGCAGTGCTTAGGTAGTTAAGAAGAAGAATTTCTTCACTGATCTTAGCAACTTAAAAAAATTGGATCGAAATTCAAAGCCTGAAGGGAAAGAAAACTTGAGTATCATTGATATGTAATCTTATGTTTCTTTTTCCTTCTAGTTGAAACCAGTTGGCACAGTTTGCAGGAAATCAGTTGATGAAGACTGTGACTTTACTGAATATTGCAATGGATATAACTCACATTGTGTGAGGAACACTTTTGCACGCGATGGACTAAGTTGTAGTTCAGGTGAAGCCCACTGTTTTAAAGGAAAATGTCGGACATTTGATAAACAGTGTAAAAGTTTAATTGGAGGAGGTAATGGCCATATTTTCTTTTTAATTTATAAATTATTCTAGGTCTGTTCTTCAGCTCTACAGAACAAAAATGTAGATAAAATTTCTTAATGAGGAAAGTCTTGCCTATTAAAGGAAATAAAACTTTCTTGAATATGTAAAACAAACAGAAAAACTCCTGTAAATTTGTATGGAATTCTTATTTGCAAGTGGAAGAACACTCCAGTAGAAATGCAGCTTCTCAAAATGTTATGTAGAAGTTGAAGTGATGGATTGTGGTTTAGACTTAAGTGAAAAAAAGAGTTTTTACTAGAATAAAGCAGGGCTAGTCACTGATTGTGTGCACTTCAAGACAGGGTCTATACAAGGAGGCTTGCTGAAGAGTGAGGGCTTTCACTAGTCCAGTCCAGCTTGATAGCTTCCTATATATATATATGGGCCATTAGCTTTGCTGAAATACCATACATTTTCCCGCACATATCCTTTGAGAGAGAGAAATTTTTTATTCTCAGTCCTCTATGCCTTCCTTAGGTCAGAAGAGAAAATTCTAAGTATTGTCTAGATCAATGTGAATGTCAGGAATTTAAGAAGGAGATGAGATAGAGGTTTTGGTAATTATAATTTCATTCTTATTTCTGTAGAATCATAATTGTGCCATCTGTCAAGATACTGGTTGCATTAGGATAGTATTTAAAGCATAATTCAGCTAACAATAAATTATAAGCAAAATCAGGAAAAACAGAAAAGTATATTCCAGATTCAACCTTTCCCTATGTAAAACCAGGAAGATAAATCTCCGTGCTGGACAGATATTTTTAATGTTAGATAGTGGATGTTAGTTACCTCGGTGTTCATTTTACCTAGGTAATTTTTCTTAATGTTTCTTTAGTATTAGCAGTGATTTTTAAAGCCCTCAGTGAGAAACTGTTTGTGAATAAGTACAATAATTGTCTTTTAAAATAGTATAACTTTCTTTTTGGAGGAAAGTATAACAGCTAAAGCATCTTGATTTTGAATGAATGTCTGTCCAATCCAAGTGATCACTTGTGTTAATGCATCTAGGACAGGATAAGTCTGGGCCTGGCTATCAGGCAACTGTTGCACTTATTTTTGAAACACAGTCCCATTTTTTGAAGCTCCCTGAAGAGCATGGAGGCCATAGGCAGCTGTTGAAAATTTGTCCTCACAAAAGAAGCCTCAAAGAATGCACCTCCTCCAACAGCACTGCAGGAGACTAAGTGGACTGCTTTAAGAAAAGGAAAAACAAAGAGTGAGAGAGGGAAGAAAACAGGTATGAAGGAAGTAAAGTGCCAATGGATAAGTACCTATCAGTAATAATGTGAAATATAAATGGATTAAATTCTCCAATCAAAAGACATAGAATACCTGAATGGATAAGAAATCATGACCCACACATATGCTACCTACAAGAGACCCATTTCAGAACAAAAGATCTATACAGACTGAAAGTGAAGGACTGAAAACAAATTTTCTAAGCAAACAGAAAAAAATGCTGGGGTAGTAATACTTATATCAGACAAAATAGACTTTGAAATGTGGGCCATAAAGAAAGACCCAGAAGGTCACTTCATAATACTCAAGGGGACAGTCCATCAAGAAGACATAAGCATTGTAAATATATATGCATCCAACATAGGAGCACCCGAGTATATAAGGAAAATCTTGGAGGACTTCAAGAAGGATATTGACAGCAACACAATTATAGTAGGGGATTTCAATACCCCATTGTCAAAAGTGAGTATGTCTTTCAAAAAAAATATCAACAAAGATATTGTGGCACTGAACAAAGCCCTGGATGAAATGGACTTAACTGATATATATATATATATATATATATATATATATATACACACACACACACACACACACACACACACACACATATGTACAGAACCTTTCATCCCAAAGAAGCAAGATACAATACACGTTCTTTTCAAATGCACATGGAACATTTTCAAAAATGGATCACATGATAGGACACAAAACAAGCCTCAACAAACTCAAGAAAACTGAAATTCCATCAAGCATTTTCTCTGATCACAAGGGACTGAAACTGACCAACCTCAAGGAAAAACTCAAAAACACTCAAACTCATGGAGAGTGAAGCATGCTATGAAACAGTAAATGGGTCAAGACTGAGATCAAGGAAGAAATCAAAAAGTTTCTGGTAACAAATAAAAATGAACTCACAACAATTCAAAATTTATGGGACACAGTGAAGGTAGTCCTGACAGGAAGTTCATAATGATAGAGGCCTACCAAAAAAAGATAGAAACATATCAAATATACAACCTATCCCTACACCTACAATAGCTGGAGGAACAACAACAAAGACAGCCCAGAGCAAGCAGAAGGAAGAAAATAAGTAAGATTAGAGCAGAATTAAACAACATAGAGACTAAAAGCACAATTCTAAGGATCAGTAAATATAGGAGCTGGTTCTGTGAAAAAAATAAACGATATCAACAAGCCTTTAAGTAGACTTAATCAAGAAAAAAAGAAAGACGACCCAAATAAACACAATTCAAAATGAGAGATTACAACTAATACCAAAGAAATACAAAGGACTGCAAGAAATTACTATGAAGAACTATATGCCAAGAAATTTGAAAACCTAGGTAAAATGGACAAATTTTTAGAAAAATATAATCTTCCAAAACTCAATGAAGAAGAAGCAGAAAGTTTGAACAGACCGATAACAGCAGACAAAATTGAAGCAGTAATCAAATTCTGCTGACACCCACAAAACCCTGGACCAGATGGTTTCACAGGAGAATTTTACAAAGCATTTAAGGCAGAGCTAACGACCACCCTCCACAGATTACTTTTAAAATTACAAGAGGATGGAAGACTCCCAAACTCTTTTTATGAAGCTAGCATCATCCTAATCTCAAAACCAGATAAGGACATAACAAAGAAAAAAAATTACAGGCCAATATTGCTGATGAACATAGATGCTAAAGTCCTCAACAAAATATTGACAAACTGCATCCAGCAATATATTAAAAAGATCATACACAATGATCAAGTGGAATTTATCATTGATCCAGGGATGCAAGGATGATACAATATTTGCATATCAATTAATGTAATACATCACATAAACAAAATAAAAGACAAAAATCACATGATCATATCAATAGATGCAGAAAAAGCATTTGATAAGGTACAGGACCCATTTATGATAAAAGCACTCAGCAAAGTGAAAATAGAGGGAGCATTCCTCTACATAATAAAGGTCATATATGAGAGACCTACAGCCAACGTCAGACTCATGGGTAAAAACTAAAAGCTTTCCCACTAAGATCAGGAACAAGAGAAGGATGTCTGCTTTCACCACTCCTATTCAACATAGTATTGGAAGTCCTAGCCACAGCAATCAGAAAAAAAAGACAAAAAAGGCATCTAAATTGGAAAAAAGGAAGCAAAACTGTCATTGTTTGCAAATGACATGACAGTGTACATAAAAAATCCTATAGACTCCACCAAAAAACTGCCTGACCTAATAACTGAATTTGGCAAAACAGCTGGATACAAAGTCAATATTCAGAAATCAAAGGCATTTTTGTACACCAACAATGAAATATCAGAAACAGAAATCAGGAAAAAATCCCATTTGATATAGCAACAAGAAAAATAAAGTACCTAAGAATAAACCTAGTCAAGGAGGTAAAAGACCTGTACTCTAAAAACTACGCAACACTGAAGAAAGAAATTAAGGAAGACAGAATCAAATGAAAGCATGTGCCATGTTCCTGGATTGGAAGAATTAATGTCATCAAAATGTCTAAACTGCTGAAAGGAATTTATAGACTTAACACAATCCCTATTAAAGCACTAATGACATATTTCACAGATGTAGAATACTTCAAAAATTTATATGGAGCCATTAATGACCTCGCATAGCTGCTGCAATTTTGAGAGAGAAGAACAAAGTAGGAGGGATCACAATTCCTAATATCAAACTGTATTACAAGGCCACTGTAATCAAAACAGCCTGATAATGGCATAAGAACAGACACAGACCAATGGAACAGAACAGAGAGCCTAGAAATAAACCCAAGTTTCTATGGTCAATTAATATTTGACAAAGGGGGCAGCAGCATAAAATGGAGTAGAAATCACCTCTTCAACAAATAGTGTTGGGAGAACTGGACAGCTACATACAAAAAAAAATGAAACTTGAGCACAGACTTACACTATTCACAAAAATAAATTTAAGGTGGGTAAAAGGCTTAAATATGTCATGACACCATATGAGTTGTAGAGGAAACACAGGGAGGAAAATCTCAGATATTCCACACAGCAGTATTTTCACTGATATGTTCCCTAGAGCAAGGGATATAAAGGAAAGAATAAACAAATGGGACCTCATCAAAATAAAAGGCTTCTTCATGGCTAAAGAAAACAGCATTAAAATGGAAAGAGAACCAACTGTATGGGAAGACATATTTGCCAATGATACCTTGGAAAAGGGTTTGATCTCCACGATATATAAAGAACTCACATGAGTCCAATCCACAAAGACAAAGAACCCAATTTAAAATGGGCAAAAGAGCTGAACAGACACTTCTCCAAGGTGAGTGGCCCAGAGGGCCCAGAGACATAGGGCCCAGAGGGACATATGAAAAGATGGGTCTAGAGACATATGAAAAGATGCTCAGCATCACTACCCATCAGAGAGATGCAAATTAAAACCACAAGATACCACCTTACGCCGGTCAGAATGGCCAGCATAAAAAAATCAACAAACAGCAAGTGTTGGAGAGGATGTAGAAAAATGGGAACCTTAGTGCAATGTTGCTGGGAATGCAGACTGGTACAACCATTGTGGAAAACAGTATGGAGTTTTCTAAAAAACTAAAAATGGACCTACCTTTTGATCCAGCAATTCCACTGCTGGGATTATATCCTAAGAACCCTAAAACACTAATCCATAAGAACCTATGCACCCCAATGTTCCTAGTAGCACAATTTACAATTGCCAAGTGCTGGAAGCAA